TTAACCCCTCTCCTGTGCCACCAGCCGTACACCAATGTGTTGTTGTATGAAGGTGTAAACTGGGAAGATATTAGTATGCCTGATTGTACCAAATGGAAAGAAATTAGTCTACCAGACTATTTTACAAAATCTTATAGGCACAAGGCTTTTGACAAGGAAAAATCAGTAATCTTGGGTCCACAGAAGGGAGGGGTCCACAAAAGCTTGTAGACTTGGAAATGAGAGCACTCAGAGATCACTAAATGAACCCTAACAGGCATTTCAGAGGTGATGATAAATGAGACAATGGGGTAATTTGTGCCACAGTATAGCAGTGTTTAAGGTGGGGTATGGCCATGCCTCCCTGTAGTCTATGGTGATGCAGCACTGAGGCTGGCAACCATGGCCTGTTTCCTTTCCAAATGAAACAGAGCAATTTTCATTGTTCAATCCTCAGGATATGATTCCGGATGGAAACCAGGAGTACCCAAAATTAGTAAAGAAGCTTCAGCAAGTAGGTCATGCGGAGGACATGGATTCTGCCAAGCCAGTTCTGGAAATAGGCCCGGAGTCCCGCTGAGGTGGGTAATTTGCATGTTACAAGGACCCGTAAGACAAAGTCAAGTGAATCCCTACTGGAGGGAGGTCAGCCTTGAAAAGCTATATTTGTCTTGGAGCCCCCGAAGTTGGTGTGGGGTCATAGAAACATTTATGGCCTTAGACTTGGCTTTGTTGACCTCCAAGTGTAACAGATGCCAGGTGTTGGAAAGAACTGTGAACAAGTTAGGTATGGAGGTGTGAGGAGAAGATACAAACAATAGGATGTCTTCAGCCAAGAGCATCAATTTATGCTGCCCACCTGGCCTGTTCACTTTTTCCAGGCCTCTGTCTATAATGTCAGGCTGTAGCAGGATGTTAAGGGGTTGGGTGCAGCACCTTACAGTGCAACCTGTCTCCCAGAGGTGCATGGGCAATCACTCGGTGTACAAAGAACAGAGAGGTCATTAAACAGCTACTGTGCTTTAGATACTAGGGTTAACCTTGCAGAGGACTGACCTCTGCTCTGGGGAGGAGAGGGGGCTGTGGGTTCAGGTGGCTTGTAGCAATGTGAACCATATTTTGTCATATTACAGCACAATATAAAAGCTTCTTTTTTGGGGGAAAGTGGGAAGATCCTGTCAGGAACAGGATAGAGACTGTAGGCTGTTTGAGTACTCATACTGGGAAGGACTTTGGCCCTTGGAGTAGGAGAGTAATCTGAAGACAAACAGGACAGAAGTTCCACCTTTTAAAAGACTGAGCACCCATTCACCCTTTGAACATTAGAAGTTATGGAATATGTTTATTCTATTGAGACTTACCATAAAGAGCGACCATTTTTCTTCCCCTCTTACCTGTTATCCAGGGTTGTTCTCAGTTCAGATACTCGCTTGCCCAGCCAAGCTAGCATTGTCCTTTTGGAACAGAAAGTTATCCAGCATGTTGGAAATGCCTCCTTATGATAAAAAGATTGTTTGCTGACAAGTTAAAAAAAACTCTTGGGTCTCCCATTATTTCAAGTGGTTCCACTGCCTGGGCTGCATGTTCCCACTGGCCTGGTTAAATGTAGGCCCCTTATATAGTACCTACAGCTACTGAGATTAGAGAGACCTCTCAAATCAAGGAGTTCCCCTTCTAACGTGGAACTGTGTAGTAGTGAGCCATAGATACAGTATAGCCTGGGTTACTGACCTTCCCATATCTGGACTTTCTTGATGGTCCTTGCAGGATTCTGAGGTATAGACAAAACTGTTGCAATTTTGAAGTTTCCCAGTCACTAAGGAGGTGCCTGGTTTTAGCAATCTCTCTCACATTTGGTGTAGGGGGCCCTACAAGGCGTTATCATTCACGTAAATCTGAATGTTTCAATCTAGGAAAGCTACACTGCAAAGCCATACTTTATTACTGGTGTTGACCAGATGCTTCCATGTGTCCATGTTATGATATGTCAAGAAATAACTAAACTCTACTTTGACCCAACACAAAATGTAAACCACCATGACCCTGCTCTGTCTCTTCATTCTTAGTGGCTTATTTGAACAGATATCATTCAGCTATATCTAGAATGCACATATTCCCTGTACTAGATACAACGAATCAGAAAGCAAGTCTGCAATTAATGAGCCTTCTCCAGATGAACAGATATAAGTCAATACTGTAACTGGAATATATAATAGATATGACCAGGTACCAGACACGAACAGACCACAGAAAACTGACATGGACAATCCAACTAAAATATCTGCCAGACCTGACACTGACAGCCAGTGGATGACAGAATTTCGGGGCTTTAAAGTGAAAAAAACAAGTTATTGCAAAATTTACCTAAATATAATTTCTGATGTGATTTTCATATTTTAATATGCTTACTCTGCCATATATTTGGCATTGTATTGAATGGAGAGATTTGCAGATCAGTCACTGGAGGCAGGGTGGTTTATTAAACTCAGTGTATAAAAATTACAAAAACATACCCACATTTACTTTACAGCTTTTCCTGAAATGCATGTTGCTTTATGTCTCTTGTGCAAATGACGGGAAAGCATTTTTCATTTTTCTACCTGCATTTCCTTTGCTGTGGTAGGCCTCCTATTACTATTGGGGTCTCTATAGAGCTACTGCAGCGTGCACACTCCCTTGCTGCTCTATGCGCACACACAGGCAATGCAAAGAGGATGAAGAGGAACTTAGATCCACTTATCCCCTCTCCCACCTGCTACTGAGCCCATCACTGAGCTGTGCAAGTGTATATCATCTTCAAATTCTCATACACATTTGTAAGAAGTCCACAAATACTCATAGGACATGTAGTCATGCTGTCAGTGCATTCAATAGAATTTGTGTGTGCACTTTAGTTGCAAGGAGCAATACGCCTGATGGAAATTGATGATGATGGACGGGGGACAATTTCTAAAAGTAGTTAAATGATATAAAAGGAGTTTATATAAGAAAAAACATTTTGAAGAAGGGATAATAGATATACATGCATACATAATTAATTAAGAGAGGGTGTAGCCTCCCTAGCTGTCTGATTACATCAGTATTTCTGTGCTCAAAGTGGTACATTTTTTTGCATGGAAATATGTTGTTTTTTATTGTAGGCCTGTCATTTTTAGGAATAACTCACTGAAATCTGTCCGGACAAGAGTCTAGTAAACATCCCGGGTATGATAAAATTTGAAACACGAAATCATAAATTATAATTTAATAAATAATCATAAAAAATAATAATAAATTTAATTCAATAATATAATCAAACCAAAAAGTAGTTCTAATTTACTATCACTGTTCTCTAGCTGGTCTAAAACCGCTTTTGACCTAAAGGGACGCTTTTTGGACACCATGGACGTTTCTCAGTTTCCAGGCAGAAAGAACAGTAAAAATGCAGGCAGGGCACAGGACAAAGCACTAGGGACAAAATGTATGTGAAATGGTTTGATACAGTAATGTTTTACTATGTAATTTTAGTGTATTTAGTGAATGTCACTTTTTGACATTTTCAAATCTCCTGCCGGTTACATCCCCCGTATGTCCCGACGTCGCAGGGAACAGAACCCGTAAGACAGATGCTGGCATCGGCCGGAGGAGATGGCCAGGGACACTGCAGGGGGGACATCGTGGGAGCGCAGGACAAGGTAAGTGCAAAAGAGATCCCGAAGCAATGCTGCAGGGTAATCCTGAGTCTACCTCGGGGTTAACGCTTGTGGTGCTGAAATGTTACCCCGATCTACACTCAGGAATACCGCCAGGGAGGTTAATTCTACTAGAACAACTGTTGAGATTAGATACAGTATCCCCTGATTAACAACTGCTGACACAGGGAGTGCATTGTTTTCAATGAGTCGGCTGACTTATAGACTTGTATGGTGAGAAGGAGCAGTAAAGCACAACCATTGTGTAGCACTGCAAAGTAGGAAGCAGTCTGGATATCAATTGTGTTCATTTCATACCCAAAGTAAGGTACAGGTAATTAAAAACTATATACAGAAACAAGATTTTTTAAACTTTAACCTCTTGGCACCTCAGACTTGATTTGGAGTCCGTGGCTTCTGTTCCGGCTTGTTTTCAGTTTGTCTTGAGGTCACTTATGGCGCACGCCTGGACCTCACTAACACCGCTGTGTGCTTCGGAGGCTGCCTGCCTACACATACTACCCCAATACTTATACCATCTGTATTCTGCAGGAGAATGCTACCTTGCAGCACTTATAGTGTTACCACGGATTGATTCCATGCCATCCATATTGGCCTCCCTAGCAATTTGTACAGCAAACTGGCATGTCATACTCTACCCCTGCCAACAGCATAGTTCAGGTGTCATACTGAACGATCCTCTGTGACTCTGTGTTTCAAGCATTGGCAGTGGGACATTTTTTACTATCATGAATTATTGTAAACTTTTATATTATAAACTTTTATTTTGTATTCATATTGGGTTATATTTGCCTGTTGACAATACTGTGATTACATCTGGTTGGACTAGCACCACCTTGTGGCCTTTATCCACTGCGCTCTTTCTTCATTTTTCTTCTGTCCTGTAATACATTGTTTCTCAACCTTTTCTCAGTCAAGGCACCTTTTAAAATTATGGACAGTCTTGAGGTACCCTTTAAAATTATGGACAGTCTTGAGGTACCCTTTAAAATTATGGACAGTCTCGATGTACCCTTTAAAATTATGGACAGTCCGGAGGCACCCTTTAAAATTATGGATAGGCTTGAGGCACCCTATTCTAAAATGGGAAAAACTATTCTAATAGTTTTATATAATGCAGCAACATCCACACATGTAGGACACCCAACATTAGAGGTGATTTATTCTTCCAAAGCAAATATACATTTGCACACTGGCACTGACTAGTATTCCAGTGTTTCTCTTCTCCCTCAGTTTTTTTTTCTATCACTGAGCTAATGTGACCCCAGCTGGAAAGGGGCAGGGGAGGGTCAAACTAGGATGCTGGGCATGTAGCTGACATCCTCCTTATCAACTGATGATGTCATTGGTTATCAGGATGTAGGTTTCTAGAAGGTCATAATGGTGCACAATGAAAACTTGTGGCTTTGTATAGCTAAAAGGCAGGCTTGTTTCACCCTCTGGCTTGTATACAACTTTTGGGCACTTTTTAGACATTTTGCCAAGGCACCCCTGAAAAAACCTCAAGGCACCCCAGGGTGCCTGGGCACCCTGGTGGAGAAAGGTTGCTGTAACACATCGCTCCTGATGGTTGTTAGAGTGGCTTGTGTTATTGACCCACATATTTTTTGGCTACTTCATTCATAACTAAGGACATCAGTGCCCAATATTGAGTCCTTTTGATACAGAACTGTGCATCACCAACAATTCGCATGTCTCTTTTTTTTTTTTTAAACTGTTTCACTTTTTTTCATCCTTTTTTTTCATCTCAGTACTGTTGATCTCCTCCAGCCTGTCTACATGCACTTGCTCAAGCCAAGTTGCTCATCATTGCTTTCAAAAGGCTTCCTGACAGTGACAACAGTGAACCATGCCTTCACAATGTGTGTCAGCAGAGCTGCTTGCAGCCTCAATCAAGGGTCAGGAAACAGGGTGACAAAGCAGGGACATGATTGGGAGACAAGGACAAAATGTTGTCACCCTATACGATGAAGTGCCTGAACATGAACTGTAACAGGGTCACCAGGTATTATTTTAATGAAAGCTGCAGATTGGGTTTACATTTATTTTATAAACAGACTGAAATAATTATTTACATTTAGCTCATTTCTTCTACATGTTAAAGCAAAAAAAGCATTGAAAGGCTTTACATTCCCTGTAATTCTAGATGATATTCTGCATGGCTTGCAGCAGACCTTGCCTGTCCATGCTGTACACACTCCGTACAGAGAGTTCTGATTTCTAGGAATATTGACGTCTGTACCATGGCATTAGCCAACTTAAATTTGATTTTACTAGGAGGCAACGCTATATTATCATTACATGAGCTGGTCAACTCCTGCGCTGATTGAATATGAGGACAGAGAAAAGAAAGCTCTTATCTACCATATCAACCTTGTATAAAAATAAGGAGGTATTTATATTTGTTTTTCTTGGCAAAACTCCTAGTTCTCCTGGAAATCTAGAAATCATTCAGGAAGCCTGTGACTTAACACAGAAATGAGGTGATGGACAAAAAACTGTGCCTACATTGCTGTGTGTACAGGCAGACAACAGTGACCATACCTCCTATTGGTCATTCCACACAACACCAACTTCACCTATTTATTAAGGTGTAGGTCACAACGTGTGGAGTGGAGTCTTACTGCTGAATACTACACAGAATGCTTTAATATTTGCCAGGTGAGGCAGATAAAATCCAAAGAGCCAGTAAATTGATTCAGAAAGCTTGCCAGCAAGGTCATCAAGTCAATGAAATGCAAAATGGAAAAAAGTTTGAGGAGAGCTAATCCCTTGGATTGGTGGTCTCTAAACAGAGGTCCATGTGACCAATGCAGCATTTGGCTTGCCTTTATCCAGCCCTTGGGGTACTAGTCTTCTCATGGATACAAGGCACTATTCCTCCTACTGACACCAACGATGATGCCCTATTTCTTCCACTGATATCAACAGTGGGGTATAATTCTGCCCAATGACACCAACAATAGGGCATTATTCCTTCCCCTGACCAACAATAGGGCATTATTCCTTCCCCTGACCAACAATGCCAAGACACCATTACTTACACTGACACCAACAGTGGGGCATAATTCTTCCCAATGACCAGGTCCGTCCTTAGCGTGGGGCTAAAGGAGAAGCTGCCCAGGCCCAGACAATTTTGTGAGGCCAAAAGCAGCCTCCCCTTGAGCCCGTGCTGCCCGCAAATTGGGGTACATGGGAAGCAGCGCTGTATTCCCCCCAAAAAAGTCCAGCAAAGCACGATCCAATTTGCTCCTGCTGGGAAACAAATTCCTTCCTGATCCCCCAAGAGGCAATCAGATATCCCCTGGATCAACTTTACCTATAAATGTTAGTATCCAGTTATATTCTGTGTATCTAAGAAACAATCCAGGCCTTTTTTTAAGCAATCCACTGAGCTGGCCAGAACCAACTCTTGAGGGAGTCTATTCCACATTTTCACAGCTCTCACTGTTAAGAAACCTTTCCGTGTTTGGAGATTACATTTATTTTCCTGCAGACGTAAAGTGTGCCCCCTTGTCCTCTGTGATGACCTCAGGGTGAATAACTCTACACCGAGTTCACTATATGAACCACTGATGTATTTATACATGTTGATCATATCCCTCCTTGATCTCCTCTTCTCAAGAGAGAATAAATTCAGTTCCTCTAATCTTTCCTCATAGCTGATCTCCTCCATGCTTCGTATCAGTTTAGTTGCCCTTCTCTGTACTTTCTCAAGTTCCCCAAAACAAAATCTGTTACCTTCTGTTTCTGTGACAACTCTATAATCTTGGATTTCCCAAAGCTATACCAATGACACTGGCCACCAGGACTAATTTAGAGGGCGATTCTCTCCAACAAGGGCTCAGACAGCAATAGAAATCAAACTAGGGTTTGAACAACCTTCCCACTCTATCCAGAAACCACAAATAAATTGTTGCTTTACATGCACTTTAAGATAAGTTAACTTTTTTGTAAAATAGATTGTATTAGAGCCAGATCTGATCCAAATGGGATGTTCTATGGATGCAATGACATTCCAAAGAGCTATTGGGAAGTGCTTTTTCCAGTCTGGGTTCTTTGGCTTGGAATCCTTGTTAGGAAAGGGGAAGATAACTAATGAAATAAAGGTAGAGCAGGAAAGGGAAACTAGACTACAGGGAGAGCAGGCAGAAAAGAAAAAAACAAGGAGAGAAAAGGAATTATATGGGGGACAAACCCACTTTTTTCAGTGGTATACTACAAGCACCACAAACGTGTGCAAGGGTGCCCCAAGTCTTTTAAGAATCCAGAAACACCCCTGACCTTGATTATCTTGTTTTTTTTAATCATCTAGAAGCAATTTAGCAATCCTCTCTATCATACACTGAAACCTTTATTGTCAGTGCAGGACAGTTAGCCTATTGTTCAAGCAGCAGTAAAGAAAGATCCATGAACCCAGTGAGACGAGGTATAACTACAAGGGGCAGGAAGGATCTTTATAAGCAACAATTAGCAGCTCAAAGAGAGTAATTATAGACAGGAGAAAACAATATTGTCTCCTTAATACTTGACATGTATAGCAAAACTCTTGCTAGTACACAAAGACAAAATAATCTAAAAATCTATGTAATTCCCAATAGCAAAAAAAAATAATAATAATTTACAAGAATGATTATCATGAAGCAGTAGAATGTGTAGCACTGCCCCTTAGGAGTTGCTGAAGTTTTGGGTGCCCCTATAGTCCTGCACAGCCAGGCAACACACATTTTCACATCTACTTGCATTCAGGAGTTAGTGGCCAGTCCTTGAGCTTGTTTTGAAGTTTTTTTTAGGGGATTTGAAACTTGGATGGGGTAGGGGTGTATGGGATGCCCAAGGGAACTGAGAAACCGAGGACAACTTCCTGAACTATATACAAGCCTTTACACAAAGATCCTCTTCATGGAGAGCTAGCCAGCATCTCCTGTTGTACCACCCCAGACACTAAGATATTCCTTTATCCAGATGCCTGGAGGAATCCCTGTGCAGGTGATCCAGTGCCTGTCACTTTAAGAGATAAGAAAGTCATGGGTGGTTGCTAATCTGGTTTCCCATCAGAGTGCTCCATCCCCTATCTGGCCCAGGGGGTGTAGGTCTACTTACTCAGTCCTTCTCCTGTGTTGCTGATGGGTTGGTGGCTGCTACCAGGCCTTTTAACTGGGCGGCTCCTTCCCTGCCTCACAAGTGGTCCTCTCTCAGGGGTCCGGTGAAGTCCCGAGCTTTCCTCCTTCCAAGGTCCTCTGCCTGTAGGTGAAACCCTTCACAGGCTCCTGTCTCCAGCCTCCTGTTGGGGAATGGCCAGGATCCTCCAAGAGTACCTACTAGCCATTCCTCAGCTCCACCCACTGCTTCTAGACCTTTCTCCAAAGTTCTAGAGCAGGGAGAAATTCCAGAGGACTGGTCTGCAGAGCCTCTCAGCTCTGACCGCAATTTGACCCACCTGGCTATCACACCCAGGCTGTTAATTAGCCCTCCTTGCTGAGAATTGAACTAGAGCTCTCCCTAGCTGACTAGGAGGGTGCTACAAATGCATTTTAGGCATCATGAAAACTTGTCAATTAGGCCAGGTGTATGAGATCCTGGTGTTTAGGTGCAGGTAGAATGCACAGTTGCACCATCCAACCCTGCTGCCAACGGCCTGTTTAAGTCTATGAGAAGCTGACAACTGCTGCTGCTGGAGAACACTGGATGGTGCACTAAATTTGTATGGCAGTATGAACATGGGAAGGAATGCCCGGAATGTGGGCAGTCTGTGTTCCAGGCAGTGGTGAGGCTAGACAGTAGGTCCCTGGACAGTATGTCAGTAGTTTTTTTTACATCAATGTCCCCCTTACATCAGTGTCCCTTTTACACCAGTACCCCCTCTTACATCAGTGTCCCCTTTATATCAATGCCCCCCCTTACATTAGTGTTCCTCTTGCTTCAGAGCCCCGCCTTACATCAGTGTCCCCCCTTTTCTCAGTGTTTCACTTTAGATTAGTATCCCTTACATAAGAATCCCCCTTACATCAATGTGCCCCCCACATCAGAGGATCCCTCCTTACATTAATTTGCCCCCCCCCTTTACATTAGTGTGATTGCTGGGAATGTCCTACATTCAGTGTAAAGAGCAGGAAGTGATCCTCCAGCACATACAACCCGCAATGTCGCACAGTCAGTAAAAAATATTCCTTCCTAGTCCTACTCTCATCTGTTGCATAGTTACATAGTTAGTCTGGCTGAAAAAAGACAAAAGTCCATCCACCAGTTCATTAAAAAAAAAATGTATAATCCTATACACACAGCTGATCCAGAGGAAGGCAAACAACCCAGCAAAGCACGATCCAATTTGCTCCTGCTGGGAAAAAAATTCCCCTCGAGAGGCAATTGGATATTCCCTGGATCAACTTTACCTATAAATGTTAGTTTCCAGTTATATTCTGTGTATCTAAGAAACAATCCAGGCCTTTTTTAAAACAATCCACTGAGCTGGCCAGAACCAACTCTTGAGGGAGTATATTCCACATTTTCACAGCTCTTACTGTGAAGAAACTTGTTTGGAGATTACATTTCTTTTCCTCCAGACGTAGAGTGCCCCCTTGTCCTCTGTGATGACCTCAGGGTGAATAGCTCTACACCGAGTTCAATATAAACCACTGATGTATTTATACATGTTGATCATATCCCCCTTTAATCTCCTCTTCTCAAGAGAGAATAAATTCAGTTCCTCTAATCTTTCCTCATAGCTGATCTCCTCCATGCCTCTTATCAGTTTGGTTGCCCTTCTCTGCACTTTCTCCAGTTCCCCAATGTTCTTTTTGTGAATTGGTGCTCAAAACTGAACAGTATATTCCAGATGAGGTCTTACTAATGATTTGTACAGGAGGAGGAATGATCAGCGGAGCTCAGCTCTACTTCTCCTGCTCATATATGAGCCATGCCTGCCCAGGGAAAACCTTACCAGGCTCGCTCCTCATGCATGTGTAGCACTAGAGCTGGGGCAATATAAACTTGGTTGGGGATAAGGGATTATGGGATGACCAAACTGAGTTCAACAACAACTTGGAGGATAACGTCTCTATGTACAACTTGCATCAAAAATAAATCCTAGACTGTTCTCCCTCAGGAATAATGTCAGTTCTTAATGGATCAGTATCAAATGTCTCAACTGCTTTTATGTCCCCTTAGTGAGAATACTGCAAAGTAACAACTGTATGCAGGAGCTCTATGCACCCTCAGTAGGAAATACCAGCACATCTGAAAATTCCCTAAACAAGGGAGAAGGATAACAGTATGCTGTCCCTCTGAAAGCACTCTGCTTTGTAGGCTTTGGGGGGTGAAAAGTGTAAAAAACTTTGAGGCCCACTGTGGCTACACTGTCTTCTTAGCACAAAACTCCACACTGTTTCCAGGGGAAATGAGTTTCAACAGAGTGGCAAAGTACTTCCAATCCTGATCACAGCACTGGCATATTAGCACAAGTATATCACAAGCAGGGGTAGAAGGTTGGTCGAAACTGTCCTTCCCAAATGGCTAGCTGGGTATTGCACCTGGCTGCCTCTCTGCTATAGTCTTTGGGTGGTGAAGTAGAGATGCTCACGCTGTCCTTTGAAATCCTGCTGCTCAGTATAGACTGCTGTTCACAGGGGCGGACTGACAACTCATGGGGCCCCCAGGCAATAGGGGATCATGGGGCCCCCGTATCCTCGCCCACACCCAAAAAAGGCTATTAAAAAGCCAATGAAAGGTACTAGGGGCATCTCATGGGGCCCCCTACTGACCCCGGGTCCTCGGGCAGTGCCCGAGTGCTCGAATGGTCAGTCCGCCCCTGGCTGTTCAGGCCTCCTGCTGTATAAGTCCTTCCCTTGCAATACAAAGTGTCTCCTGGATGAGACTGAAGGGTGGGAAAGATCAAGCTGCTCTTTTCTTTCCTTCCTCAGCTACTTCCTGGAGACAGAGCCTCCATCTCTGGGGTCCCCTTCAGGCCTCACGAACCTACTCAGCACTCCATCCTCTCAACCAACAACAAATCCCTGCTAGCCAGTCTCTTCAATATTTATTGGCAGATTTTACCACCATGCCAGGTCTCCTGCTTGGGGATTGGTCAAACTCCCATGAATATTCAGATTCCTGCCCCTGTAGCCCCACCCACTACTTTCTAGAGGTTTCTGAAACTCCCAGAACCAGGGGGAGGTGACCTGCAGAGCCCTCCAGCCTGACCTGAGCTGGAGCCCCACAGACATGCTCACTTTAGCTACTTCTGAGTCAAAACTAAATGTACCTAACTATGCACCTAGAGGGTTCTACACATGCACAAACTTTCCCGGGAAGGCTGCACAGTGCACACTGAGGTGGCATCCTCCACCACTCACACTAACACTTTCATGGCTGCGAGAAGTGTAGATCCCAGAGGAAGCTGAGAGATTAACGTCTGGACTGACACTCAATGGGAGAATAGTACAGGAAACAGCAGGAAAGCTGCACTGGCAAGAAGGAGAAAGTGGAGAAAGAACACAACCCAAATCCCTCTTGCTTCCATCTCTGGGCTGACAGGAGTAGTGATGTAGCTGTCACTACTCCTGTCAGTGGTGGTGCCCCTTTCCATGTGGCATTCGGGGCACATGCCCCCCAGTCTCAGCTCTGGTTCCAGGCCTTTGCATTTGGGTGCATACTGCCTTAATTATTAGAAGTGCACCATCCAGCTCCATCCACCCACAGCAACTGTCAGTCTACCATAAAGTTTATTGTTTACATACACTGTTCTGTCTTCCTTCCTACACATTTCCCTGTGTGTAACTTGACAAGCAGCTAAATCCTCCTATTCTGCAATAAGCCAGACTGAATGTAATCTTGAAGCTTTATTAACAAAACAGGATGGGGTGAAACTAAATCAGAGATTCATACAATCAATGCATGAAACATAGAAACACAAAGAAAAAAATTAGGCGGCAGATGGCAATAAGTCCATGCTCATTAGCAATACTACCTGTAAGGGATCTAAGTTCAGTCCACAACATGCGCTTCAGGGATGATGGCTGGTTCCTTTCCCTCAGTATTTAAGATGGACTCTGAGCTCCCAAGATGCATGTTTCCTTATCTTAGAATGAAGGATGATGGGAGCTTTTATTAACTAAACAGTTTCTGGTTTCTGAAAAACAGTAATTTTAGTCTGAGGGAACACAATACATTTTAAATTTGAAATGCTTAAAGTCACTTTAAAGCTTTGGGTTTTTTTTTTTGTCTTTTTCTTTAATAACAAACATGTCTATACTTACCTACATCCCTTATCCTCTTCTTTTTGGTGCTTCTGGCTCCTCCACCTCAAACAGTGCATCCAGGGAAAGCCACTCTCCCTGGGGGCACCACTATGTGCTCATCTCAGAGTTGCTGCTCTATGCTTCCATAAGACACACAGAGCTGTGGCTCAGCCCCACCCCCCTCATCCACTCTCCTCATTGGCTCACTGGCTGTGATTGACAGCAGTAGGAGCCAATGGGCACCTGCTGCTGTCTCAGCCAGTGAGGAATAAGAGTCCCCCAACAGCACAGGCTGTTGAGAACGTTGCTGGATTGGAGGGGGCTCAGGTAAGGTTTGGGGGTCTGGGGGGCTGCTGCACACAGAAGGTTTTTTACCTTCATAGAATGCATAGAATACATGAAGGTAAAAAACATTGAGCCTTTAGAGCATAGACTTTTAAAGCTAAACTTCTAATGTAGCCGGGTGCTGCTATGACAGTTGGAAGACTTGTGCTTCTGTGCCCTGTGTTCTTGCCTTTCTCCCCCCACCACTGTGCTGTGTGCTGCTAACTGTGGCTTTCTCCCCCCATCCTCCACTGTTGCTGTAATTGCCAGAGCTGGCTGTGTAAAATCCCCCACTTCTGCTTCCTCCCTCTCTCCTGGCAACAAGGCAATAGAGCAATCAGGAATAAAGGAAGAGGATCATGGGACATGTAGTTCCCTTAGGAGCACTGCACAATGCAGGGTAATGGGGCACGGACTTGAGCCCCCATAAAGCTTTGCACAACAGAGGAAGAGAGACAGAACAATTTCTGGGCAATTCTAAAGAGGTTGGCATTTTTGCCAAGGGGGAGCAATGCGGTGCAGACCTGCTGTTGGGACCTGCCAGTGCTCCCCCAAAGAGACAGCTACATAGGAAGCAAAGTAGTTCAGGAACCAATAGACCTGCTGCTGTGGTCTGAGCAGGGGCGGACTGACCATTTGGAAACTCGGGCACTGCCTGAGGGCCCAGAGTCAGTAGGGGGCCCCATGAGGTGCCCCTGGTACCTTTTTCATAGGCATTTTTGAGTTTGGGCAAGGACACAGGGGCCCCATGATCCCCTATTGCCCGGGCGCCCCATGAGTTGTCAGTGGGTCTGAGCATCCAGAGAGCTGAGAGACTGAGCCACAGAAAGTAATTTTGTGTTGGGACCAGAGCTGGGGAGACCCATTGCCGTGTGTGTGCCTACATAAGCAACTACAAAGACCAAGAGGAGCAGAGCTGAGCCTTTTGAGGACCTGTTTGTGAGGACATGACCGCAAGGACTGAGCCTTCTGAGACAATAGACTGCCAAATATGCTGAACTGGATCTGTTGCTTACCAGGAGTGGTGAGTAGAACAACTGAGATTAACTTCTAACTGCCCACAGTTAATGCCATTAGAGACTGCTCCTTACTTAGCAGCCCATCAGCCATCCACAAACAAACCAGCTAGCCTGCAAAACAACCAAAATGACCCAATTTAACAATTGTTAAAACAAAGCGTTTAGCTTGCACACATTTACAAATATATGCATAAACTACAGTGCCCACGTCAAGGCTCCTCTGAAATAGAGTTAGGACTGTAGTATACAGAGTAGGAGCACATATAGCAATGGATAGATCAAGGGCAGGTGTGCCTGGAGGGAGCCCCTCCTTAAAGGCTCAGTGGACGTATTTGACACCAAGCAAGAGCACAATGGCAGCTAAAGACATCCAGTCCATCCCCGCACCCAAACCCATTATGACCAGGGAAGTATGTCACTGAATCCAGCATCCCCATGTCTTGTACAATATAATCGTACTTATCATACATAGTTGCAGACAATTCCTCAATGCACCTAATAGATTTTGGTTCATCTATTAATTCATACATGAAAGGTACTGCAGTGGATTTCCAATATCTTAGGATGACTGATCAGTTTTGGGGCATCAGTCAATTTAATTTCCTTCGTAGATGTGTCCTGTGTTATTAGAAGCATATTACTCAGTTTTACCACTGATGACCCTGATTTCCCAGGCAGTAATATTAACAAACACAGTGTTTTTCTGCTTTTACCTACTAATTTGCAGTGTAGCTGCAGGGTGTCATTACAGTTATTAGAAGGAGGGATATCTGCGGAACAGTACATAAGGGATACACCAGCGGCAGTTTATCAGTTCCTGAGACCAACGCAGAGAACCCAAGATGGCCAGATGTCTTGTTTTGGGACTGGCAGTGACATGCAGTAAGCACACAATTTCCTTTTTATTTTATCTATTGCATTGTTTACCAAAAATTGTTTTACATGCCAAATCTGGAGAAGTCAGTCTGGCCATTCTTTTTCTGTTTTTAACAATCTTTTAAAAGCTACTGAACATATACCACCAGACTATTAGATCAGAGCATGATGTGAAATCTCAGAACAGAACTGGTAGCTTTTGCCACCTAAACTTCAGCTACCAAATCAGTTGAGTATGGTCCTATACATACTAATGTAGTGTTAAGGATTAGGTTAAAGTAGAACTAAAGGGAAAACTTTCTTTGCCATCTGTGTCCCATGGGGGAGATTTCCCTTCACTTCCTGTTCCATAGCCATAACAGAAAGTGTGAGATAATCACTCCAAAGTTAGAGAATCACTGTCTGTCACCACAGTCACCAGAACTAGTGTAATCAATGGAATAATTTCTTTCTATCTCTGTTTTTGTGACAACTCAAAATATGGGATTTTCTTCATTTTTACTCTTGGTGATTATGGTAAACAGGATAAATAGAGAGGGTGATTCCTTTTAACGGGGGCACAGACAACAATAAAAACCTGAGCAGTGTTCTACAGTATTTACTATCAAAAACTAAACAAAAAGTTTTGATTTTTAATTATGTTTATCATTGTAAGCAAAGATTTTTGTTTTTTTATTCATCCATTTCCTTCCTATCACAGCCTCGCTAGGGTCTTCAGTCCACTATGGTCAGGAGGTAGAAATTATGAGGATGTACTGTATCTGAAGGCAGCCATGGAGTATGTTTTTTTTCACACACCATACCTGAATCAACCATATGGTTAAAAAGGTGCTACAGTGACACCCTTCTGGTCATGGTGTGAAACAGGAATGAGATATGTTGTCAGTACACAGACAAGCTTGCTTCAAAGTGCAAAGCTCTTCTTTATCACATGATCACATAGAAAGACAACATTTGGGGACTGTTCCAGCACTCATCCTCCAATGACTAATGAAAGGTCCCTGTGCAGCTCCAAAACATTGTCTATGTGATGATGCAATAAAAGCTCACTTTGAAACAAGCTTGTTGGTGTGCTGTCTGGAGTAAATGACACACACAGCCCTCTAGAACAGCCTTTCTCAACCAGGGTGCCTTGAAGTTTCTTCAGGGGTGCCTTGTCAAAATGTCTAAAAATTGCCCAAAACTTATATACAAGCCAGTGGGTGGAACAAGCCCACCTTTTATTTACATAAAGCCACAGGTTTTCATTGTGCACCATTATGACCTTCTAGCCGCCGTGCGTCCTGACAACCAACGACATCATCAGTTGATAAGAAGGATGTCAGCTGCCTGCACAGCATCCTGGTTTGATCTTCCCCTGCCCCTCTCCATCAGTGCTGGGGTCACATTAGCTCAGCGATGGAGAAAAACTGAGGGAGAAGAGAAATACTGGAATACTAGTCAGTACCAGTGTGCAAAAGTGTATTTGCTTTGGAAGAATAAGTAATCTCTAATGTTGGGTGTCCTACATGTGTGGATGTTGCTGCATTATATAAAACAATTAGAATAGTTTTTTACATTTTAGAATGGGGTGTCTTTTTAAAATTATGGACAGTCTTGAGGCACCCCATTTTAGAATAATTTTTAAGGGTGCCTCGGGACTGTCCATAATTTTAAAGGGTGCCTTGACTGAAAAAAAGTTGAGAAACACTGCTCTAGAATCCTATCTTCATGCTCTTGTAGATACATGTCCTTCTCTGATTGGCATGGAAAAGTAGGGTTATTAGCAATGAAACTTGATAATCCTCCCACTCAAGGTACATCAAAAGCCCAATACACAGGGCGACAGCATCGGAGTGAATTCACTGTAGGTAACATAGCATCACTCCCCTATGGAAGCCAGGTAAGATCACAATTATTTAAATATGTTAGTCTATTTTTTATTGCAGTATGTATTATTTAAAAAACAATGTAATTGCCTTGTATTTTTTTTTATTTCGGCATAGTTATACATTAAAGATTAGGTTAGGGTTAGGATTTCACTTTAGTGAGATTCTGCTTCATTTCTTGTTCTTTCTGTAAGGTGGGGGGAATCTCCCAAGTGGGGCCACAGACAGCAATATAACCATGTCAGATATTCAAATTTTTACATTTTTTAAACAAAAAAAATAATTTTCTTGCGTTCCATCAGAAATAGTCTTTTTCATTCAATTCTGTTCCATTTCTGTTTTATGTATGTGCATGTATGTTTCCCTATTGATAATCTCATCTTGTTTTGCAGTCATTGCACTGGTCACCAGCACACCTGCAGATTTTGATGAAATGATTAAAGTGACCACCATCGTTTATGGCCTAGCTAACTTCTCTGATTATGGCTGCCACTGTGGAGCCAACACTAAAGGAAGACCTGTGGATACTATTGATTGGTAATTCTCATATATTTTTGGATCAATTAATCTGTTATGGGGCCTATTTGTAAAAACTGAAAACAGAAGGTTCTCCAGAAAATATACTTTGTGACCATCCACATTCCTTGATTCATTTGACCAATAAGTAAAATACAAAACCTAATTGGTTGTTATGGGTACGTTCTACTCTTTTGTGGAGCATTTCTGTTTTCTCTACTCCAGTTTTCATAAAAGGTTCCTCAAGATAAGTACAATGTTCTTTTTTTTATCTGTATACAATGTAACTTGAGCCATGTAATTCGTAAGGGTCATTCCACCAAACAAAATATTTTAGTTAAGTCGGAAGCCAGGTTAGTTGTATCCGTGCTTGGCTTCCTATACATGATGTCTTTGATATCCCTCCTATAATTCTTGGCTTTGTTCCTGTCCACCTTGATGCGCTGAGTGATCCCACCTACTTTTGTGTGTTCTAGCTCCTCCTGTTACAATCATTTGAATATAAATATATAATAAAGATAAGGTCCAACAGGTAGAAAGCAACTCCTAGGAAGTGGGTATAGCAGGTGTGCATAACTGGGAACCCAAGTGCAGAACTTTTTGATGACTGATGATGTAAAAGTGACCTCATTATAATGCTGCATTTATATGTTGCTAAATAAATGAAGCTGCAAGCTGATAAAACATGAATGAAATTATAGTCAGCTTGCTGCTGTGATTATATATTCATTAACTAACATGCCCACATTACTTGGAGTTACTTTGATCTAAGTCAATAAACTTTAACGAGTGTGTTGTCAATCGGTACAGTGGTACCAGTAACACAATCTCTGTGCAGAAGATATCAAAGTGGTTTGGTAAGTCAAACGGGCATTTTTGCACACTGAGCTGCTCTGGACAATAACACTGACTTTTCTTGACCTGTATTTGATCATAGTAGACATGAAAAGTGATCACACTCATGACCTATGTAATAAATATGTACTTTCTAGGTGCTGCCATGAACAGGCCTGCTGCCACAACGAGGCAGAAATGAGAGCATGCAACCCTGTGACTCAGACTTACCGCTTCTATACTGAAGAGGAACAGAAGGTTAAATGCAGTAAGTGTCCCAGACGATACTAAGACATCACTCTACAGTGTATCCAGAAAGTATTCACAACGCTTAACTTTTGCCACATTTTGTTATGTTACAGCCTTATTCCAAAATAGATTAAATTCATTTTTTTCCTCAACATTCTACAAACAATACTTCATAATGACAACATGAAAGAAGTTAATTTTGAAATCTTTGCAATTTATTAAAAATAAAAAACTAAAAGAACACATGTACATAAGTATTCACAGCCTTTGCCATGACACTCAAAATTGAGCTCTGGTGCATCCTGTTCCCACTGATCATCCTTGAGATGTTTCCCCAACTTGATTGGAGTCCACCTGTGGGAAATTCAGTTGATTGGACATTATTAGGAAAGGCATAAACCTGTCTATATAAGGTCCCACAGTTAACAGTGCATGTCAGAGCACAAACCAAGCCATGAAGTCCAAGGAATTCTCCATAGACCTCTGAGACAGCATTGTATCAAGGCACAGATCTGGGGAAGGGTACTGAAAATTTTCTGCAGCATTGAAGGTTCCAATGAGTACAGACAGCGGCCTCCATCATCAAGAAGTCTGGAACCATCAGGAATCTTCCTAGAGCAGGCCGACCAATCAAAGTGAGCGATTGAGGGAGAAGGGCCTTAGAGAGGGAGGTAACCAAGCACCCAATGGTCACTCTGAAAGAGCTCCAGTGTTTCTGTGTGTAGAGAGCAGAACCTTCCAGAAGAACAACCATCTCTGCAGCAATCCACCAATCAGGCCTGCATGGTAGAGTGGCCAGATGGAAGCCACGCCTTCGTAAAAGGCAAATGGCAACCCGCCTGGAGTTTGCCAAAAGGCACCTGAGGGACTATCAAACTATGAGAAACAAAACTCTCTGGTCTGATGAAACAAAGATTGAACTCTTTGGCTTGAATGCCAAGCGTCATGTCTGGAGGAAACCAGGCACCGCTCACCGCCTGGCCAATACCATCCCTACAGTGAAGAATGGTGCTAAAGGTGCTTCAACAAAGTTTTGAGCAAAGGCTGTAAATACTTATGTACATGGTTTTTTTTTGGTTTTTATTTTTAATAAATTGCAAAGATTTCAAAATTAACTTCTTTCACATTGTCATTATGGGGTATTGTTTGTAGAATGTTGAGGAAAAAATTTATTTGATCCATTTTGGAATAAGGCTGTAATATAACAAAATGTGGCAAAAGTTCAACGCTGTGAATACTTTCTGGATGCACTGTATAAAGCTGGTTAGACTATGCTTAGCAATTTCAACTACTTTCAACTTTTGATCACAAGAATCAAGTAAACTCAGACAACCTACCTTGGTTTATATATTTATGAATAATATAGTCCTTATAGTCACACAATATTAATTTACCCCGACTTTGATAGGAAGCACTTGGCATATGTTCCTGAAATGGAAATACTGTATGTCTGTGCTCCAATCCAAATAGCTTTAAACAGATTTTTCTGTCCGATGGCAAGCCCCTCCAGCATTAAGGGTCCAATTCCTTATACAGAGCTTCATGGCAATGTGCAAGGGTCAGGGTGGCATAGCTTCTTACATTTTTTACAGCCTTTGAGCCACATAAACCAGTTAGAATGCTGGTAGAAAGCTGAAATGTGTCCTGGGCCAGGACACATTGCTAAAAAAGTGAATAATATATATATTACTTATATGTTATAGGTAAAATCTGAAAATGTTAACTGTGCCTAATCAGTACCCTAATGTACTGTTTGAATTTCTCCTCAAAAGAGCAGGGCACTTCCTGGTATGTGAGTGTACCTAGGCACTCCTGTGTCCACACTCTCGTTGTATATTTGCAGTGCAAGATCTCAGGAACTGCTGCTTCTGACTGCTAGTCTAAGCAGAATTGGAGTGCAATTTGGTGATTTTAGTGCTGTGTTGCCCACTATTATCCTTACTGGAGGCTCTGAAATAAGGAAGCAAAGCCCTTCATCTACCATCATGGTTGCTCTCATTTAGAGATACAGTGCAGAACGTGGCATGGTAGTTAAGTTGGTAATTGAAAAAAATCAGCTGCAGGGAGAGCAGATATTACTGCTGACTAGTCCTTTGCTCTCTGCCTGCCTTTTTTGGAAACAATATCCAGAGTTAAAGATGTGTTCCAGGCTTGGACCAAATAATTATGTATATACCAGGGGTAGGCAACCTTAACCCCTTGGCGCTGGCACCTCCTGGCCCTTTAAGGGTTTCAGAAGCCGGGAGGTGGGTGGGGTTTTATGGTCATGTGACCGCCATGGTTCATTGTCATGGCGGTCACATGATCGGGAAAGGTCCCGATCACAAGAGGAGATCGGGACCTTTCCTTGAGTACCAGACATGTGTGCTGGGAGCGCGCAGGGCACGAGCTCTCAGCATGTTTTTTTTTTTTTAATTGCACGCAAATGTGCGGCCGCTTGGCATCAAGGCCCAGACGCAGAGAGGCCGCACAATTGCGTGCGCTCAGCGTGAAGAGGTTAAAGAGGTGAAGATCTACCTGAACAACATAGGAGAAGTCAAATATCACCGGGCACAGTGTCACCGCCTCACACCTGGTTTAAACGTCTAATTTCTGTACTAACATGTCATAGTCGTGTGCATTGCATGCATTTAAATCAGATGGTGAGGAGGCAACATATCACTTCCTCACCACCAGTCAAATACACTTAGGTTTCTTTCCAGAGGAGCAGCAGTGCCTGCTACACTTGTGAATTAGCCCTTAGTTGCATCTGGCACCAGTATCCTTAAGACTCCTTCACATGTAAAGTTGGGGGTTGGTAAATCCCTGCGGTGGAGTCATGTTTTTACCGCCTCAAATCCTTACCCCCTTTAGCTGCTGAGGCAGCAGGCAGAAGGTGTAAACATGCCACCGCAGGAATCAAACCTGTTGCTTTTGGTGGGTGCTACCACCTGCCAATTGGGAATCATTAAAAAAATTGGGGCCATTCTCCAAGCGCTCCGCAACTTCTGTGGGGTCCAAGGAGTTAAAGCAACACAATACTGCCTGTTTTAATCCCTTGTTTGCTATTCTGCAGGGCACTTGCAGAATGGCCTCATTCACTTGAATGGGTCATGCTTGGCAGGTGCTACAACCACCATCCATGCCAGGGTGTATAACTCCTGCTGCGGGTGCAACATGTGTACACCCCTGGAAACTGCAGATAAAGGGGGTGCGGTTGGGGGGGGTAAAAACACATCTTAACTATAGGGTTTTACCACCCCCCAAACTGCAAATGTAAATGAACCCTTACTGTCCTGAAGGCTAAAAGGTTGCGTTCACAATGATGTGCTGGGGTTTACCTGCACCGTGGGTGCAACGCAGTGCATCTGCAACTTTCCTGGGTTAGCTGCACTTTGCCATAGACTTCTATTATATCTTGCAGGTGTGGTGCACTTTCTGAAAGCACACTAAAACTCTTGTATTCAGGAGTTTCAGTGTGCTTTCAAAAAGTGCACAGGATGTGAACTCCAATACAATGTCTCCTTGCTGCAGTGCTGTTCCTGATTCCTTTCACATGTGTAATTTGTCTGTGCTCACCTAACCTATCCTATAGGTGAACAAAGACAAACCACACATGTGAAAGGAAGCAGGAACAGCACTGCAGCAAGGAGACATCGTATTGGAGTTCACATCCTGGCTTGTGAGATATCTGATCCTGGCATGACATGGAAATCTCTTTATATTCCTATGCTAGTTAACCACTTCCCGACCGGCCGTTGTATATAAACGGCCAGATGGTGGCAGTGCAGGGTCGGGTGGCAGTTTATAAACGGCCTCCCCGCACCCTGCTTGTGCGCACTCCCTGGGAGCGCGCAGCACCGCGATCCGGTGCCCACTGTGTCCTCCGGACACAGTGAAACACCGATCGTCGAACGGAACCTCTGTACGAGGTCCCAATCATGTGATCACTGATTGGCCAATCAGTGATCACATGCAAAGTAGTAAGCAAGATGTCACTTGTGACATCATTGCTTACTACGTGTGAAATCTGTGAATGATCACAGAGGTCACATGGTACAAGGCTATTCACAACAGCCTTGTACCATGTGACAAGCTGTGACCAATCACAGCTCACTCAATACTTCTCAATGACTGCAAGAATGCAGACAGAGAGAAAGAGAAATGATTGATTTTACATCCTATATAGGTGTAAAAGCTATCAGTGTAAAAAAAAAAAAAAAAAAAAAATCTTCATCACCCCCCACAAGTAGTACAGTGTCACCATGGTGACACTGTACTGCTAGGGTGGCAGTAGGTAAAAAAAAAAAATAAATAAAAAAAATTATAAAAAAAAATAAAAATGTAAAAAAAAATGTTTAAAAAAATTATAATTTTTAGTTATGAACTAATTTTGGATTTTTTTTTTTTACTAAAAAGATAACAGAATAAATTTTGGCCAAGATTTATGATGAAATATTATTTATTTGCAAAATTTTTATTAAAAAAAAACTTTTTTTCAAAATTTTTGGAGTTTTTAATTTACATAGCAAAAAAAAAAAAAAAATCCCAGCGGTGAATAAGTACCACCAAAATAAAGCTTTATCTGTCTCAAAAAAATGGTAAAAAATTAATTTGGGTACACTGTTGCATGACTGCGCAATTGTCATTCAAAGTGTGATAGCGCTGAAAGCTGAAAATTGCCCTGGTGAGGAAGGGGGTAAAAGTGTCCGGTCTGGAAGTGGTTAAGACCCCCTATAATTAAAGGGTCTCTGCTTCTGGTAAGCCTCCATTTATTCACATGGTGGTGGTGCACATATTGGTGAACAATTGTATGGATTAGGATTCACAGCATTCATTTCACATTCACAGAACTGGAAAACGGCTTCACTATTGATTGTGTAGCATTGCATTTACAGGGACGTTATTGTTTTCTGGACTATACATCACTATTTATTAGTTTTTTTTTCACTGATTTGATTATTTTACATAGACATGAGTGATTTCACAATGGATATATGTGAAAAGTTTAGTTTGTAACATTGTTATACAAAATTTAATTTATTAATGGTTATGTGAAGAGAGGATATCCTCTTTAATATTTGCAGCTTTGTATAGTTAAAGAACTGGGAATTTGCGCAGTTTGACTTGTTTATATACTTAGTTACATTGGTCCAAGCTGGATCAATGTAACTGTGCAAAAATATCTATACCTGAAATTCTTCTTTAACCTTTTCACACCGGCCGAATGCAAATGTGCGGCCTCCCAGCGTCTGGGCCTAGACGCTGAGCAGTCGCACATTTGCATTCTATTAAAAAAGGACATATGTGCCAAGAGTGCACGCCCTGCACGCTCCCAACACACATGTCCGGTACTCACGGAAAGGTCCCGATCTCCTGTTTTGATCAGGACCTTTCCCGATCATGTGACGGCTGTGGCGGCCGTGATGGCGGTCACATGACCCTAAACCCCGCCCCCCAGCTTCTGAAACTCTTAACGGCGTGAAGGGGTTAAGTTCCTCTTTAACTGTGGTGTAGTCAGGGTGCTGTCTGAATTACAAGATTACCTGAATAGAATTACAAATCAATTTGGCAGATAAACCAATTCTCAAATATATGTTTCAGCTGTGTTTAGCCTTTGCCTGGAGTCCGATGGGACTGCTTCAGTGACACACCACAATAAATGTCCACTGGTTATTGGTTGCGAGTTCCAGTATATTTTCTGTAAACTCTTTCACCATACTGTATTCAGCAGGTGATGCTGCTTTTCATGTGACACTTCTATATTTCTGTCCACAGTGAAAGCTCGTGATCGCTGTGAGAAGATGGTCTGTGAATGTGATGAAAAAGCTGCAAATTGTTTCCGGAAGGAGCTGGAAAATTACAATGTAAATTTCCGAAACTTCTCAGCCCTTGGAGTGTGCAAAGGGGCAAGGCCTTTCTGTTAGTGAAAACACCACATATGTGCTCACTGTAACAATGAAGACATATTGCTTGCTTAGTAGACTTAGCTATTGTGTTAGTCCAGAGAGCAGAAAGGAAACAAAATTAAATATTCCCTCCATGGGCTTTATATTGTATCGTGTTGTAAAGGACAGTAAGCTATGATGGGCCCTTCATCAACTGTCATTCACGGCTGATCATATGCCGAATGCTTATTATGATAACTCTAGTACATGATGATGCTCACTAGGATTCTCTCATACTGGCTGGACACTATACTATAAGAACCAACCAGACATCATCATCCTTCAAAAGTAGAGTGTAATGTCAAATGTGACCGAAAAGGGAACTATTACTGCTCTTTACACATAGGAATTAAGGCATATATTGATATAGACTATTATGCAGCAATAGCAGCCTACACACTTTTCAATTGATGAGTTTCTTTTAAGTGCTGTAGAAAGTAGAAGCTCAATTGAACATTAATTTGACTCCAGATAAAGACATTTTACCCTCAGCAGCAAACTGCAGAAAAGACCCTTGCTCTAACATAACCCCCCCCCCCCCCACCACCACCCTTTCCCAAGTCAGAGCTATAGCTTTTCAATCAGCAGGGAGTATGAGTTGTATTTTATTGGAGATCTATATGTCTGACACAGCAGAGGGCATGTCAGATCTGTGCAGGGAGACCACTGCTTCCATACCTAGAACAAGTGTCCTTCTAAGCAGCATGCTGGTAGGGTTCATGCTTTTCTGTGTTTTGAGATGTGCTGGATTCCAATGGTTGTGTATGTATAGGCTTTGGTGATGGAAATAGGTTTCTGGGCACTAGGACAGACTTTTACTGAAATCTGGGACTGGAGTAAGCATTGCTGTGGAGATTTGGGTGGCTTAGGGATGTAGTTTATTTTTCCTTAGATTTATTCTGGGAGTATTAGGGTTGTGAGATAGCAGCAGTATATGCATATGGAGTAGATTTAGGAAAAAGGGAGAAAATGCCCTATAGAATAGAAGCTGCTACAGTTTTTACAAATAGGCCTCATAGTTAACACAACCTTGCAAACTGCTGTAAAAAATATAACATTCTGATTTATGAGGAAAATGTACATTGCTGTAAAAACAAATAATTCCATTTGTAACCACACAATAAGAAGAGAGACTTTTTCCAGCCTGGCCTATGGCCTTGTACCCAATCAGTACATTTGGAATTAGTGACATCAGGAAGGAACAATGTGCACATTAATTTGTAGGCCACAAAATAACCACCTCTTGCCTTGGTTGTGAACACAAACCCTGTAAAATCTGGATATAATCACAAATAAACTGCTCTGTACATATTTGTTTTTCATAACTACAAACTTGCCTGAAAAGCCCAGCATTACGGAATATTTTCAGACTCCAAATAACTGGCCTAGTTATGTACTTGGAAAACTCTGGTCTTATTGGAATTTTAAATTAAAAGCTTAATTAAAACATACAGGTGTGGCTATACTTTCTGTTTGGGTAATTTGAATTGAATATGGTTCTAATTAGTCCATTCACACTTGAGCAACTTGCCATGCGACTTTGGGGTCCAAAGTCGCATGACAAGTCACACCCCATGTTTCCCAATGAGTAGCATTCAAATCTGTGTGACTTCCTGCACTACTGCAGTTTTAGTCCAGTGAATATAAAGTTGGATCAAAGTCACACTGGAAATCACGCGACTTGGAGGCACGCTAATGTGAATGGAGCCTTAATGAAAGGGGTATCATTAGGCTGAGTGGGAACCTGCCTAAGCTAAGCTTCACCTAACATATGGGGTCATTGACATTATTTTAAATATTGTATGATCTAAGCCATCTCACCCCTTACTTTAGCTTTTAGACTGACCTAGAGACCTGAAAAGGTGTAGGACATAAAATCTGATTGGTCACTGAGGTTTTTTTTGCAAATAATGCATCATTATTGCTCTTCATTATATTCAGCAAAAACTGTTTGTACACTATAAAGCCAAACATTTGTAGACACCTGACCATCACAACTAAGAGCTTACAGGAAACCCTATTTCAACACCATGGGCATTAATATGAAGTTGACCCCCCTATGCAGCTATAACAGGCTCTGCTATTCTGGGAAGGCTGATGTTGGATGTTGGAGTGTGTCTGTGGCAATCTGTGTTATTAAGCCAAAAAGGTGTTTGTAAGGTCAACCACTGAGAAGAACCGAATTGAAAGTGGTGTTCTAAATTCATCCCAAAGGTGTCCAGTATGGTTGAGATCAGGGCTCTGTTTAGGCCACTTGAGACCCTCCCCACCAAACGTATGAAACCATGTCTTTATAGAGTTGACTTTGTGCAATGGGGCACTGTCATGCTGGAAGGGCCTTCCCCAAATTATTGCCAAAAGGGTGGAAGCAAACAATTGTCAATAAGAGGTGTCCACTTTTAGCCATCTGATGTATTTATTTACAGTGAAACTCCAGGTTTGAGAAACAATTCCTGCTAGTTTAAACATGTACATCTCAAGGATTTTAACAAGTTTAAAGTTCATATCTAGTCTATTTTTTATAGAATTGGAATGGTTAGGACCTCTGCCAGATTTTAATTGCTGCTATTGTGTCCATAGGGGACGTTTTTGTGCCATCTTGTCACCATTCTCTCAAATGGAGACACATACAGGAGTGTAGTAAAGGCAGGAAGAATTAGAACCTCTTTCAGGTTTTTATTTCTTTGTCCCCATTGTGTAGTTAACCTTACTGGGACAAGTGAAGGGCAGGGACAGAGGAAGCATTAAAACCTAATAGAGTTTGTAGCCCACTGTTTCAAGTTGTATTTTAAATAAAGTAGTACTGTACGTACCAGGGGGTCCTCGTCAAACATCTGCCTTTCTAAAGGGGTGCCTAACTTAACACTAGCCATAGCATTAAAGAAGATCTAAAGCAAATCAATAAAATTTCTTAAAAGTTGTATAAGTATAGAATTAATGTGTAACTGAAATACCAGTGTTGAGACGCAACAATTCTCTGATGCTAAACATAGATAACAAATAATGAGACTAAATAAACTTTCCATTTAATCCAGTTTATTGTTTATTCTTTTTATTTGATTTAAGCTTTATTAAATAATACATTTTGCCAAAAGATATATTACTCAGCAGTTTAAAGGTTTCTGTACATGATCTTCAGCTGATAATGGTGTCCCACCATCAGTAACAATAACCAGTCAAAGCACTGTAAGGAATATACCAGTATACCCTTGCAATGCTTCATGGCTAAGAGAAAGCAAACAATATAGAGTTGGTGCATGATACATAGTGAGCTATGCTGTAGAGAAAATGGTATATTACATAACTATATAGTGGAGGGACTTCAACTTCAAGGAGGTAGAAGGTCATTAAACTAAAACTGTGAATAGTGACTCTCCAGCTATACCTGTAGCTGAACAATGGTAATTGAAAAGAACTCTGAAATTTACTATACGAGCTAGACGTTTTATACTTTGTAGTTTTACAGGCCATACATTTGTTAACATCTGGTCATCCCACCTTATTATAAGCTTGTTGGACATCCCATTTCAAAACTATTAATATGGAGCTGGCCCAACCTTAGCAGCTATAACAGCCTTCACACAATTGCTTGAGTATGCCCTTGTCAATTTGTGCACATTCAGCCAGAAGAACATATAGTATTGTAAGGTTAGGTACTGATGTTAAAACAAGAAGACCTGGCTTGTGGTCTGTGTTCCAATTCACCTGAAAGGTGTTTTGTAGAACGAAGATCAGGGATTGCGCAGCACCCTTAAATTCCTCCACACCAAACTCATCAAACCATATATATGTGGACTTGAAATAGACATAAAAGGACTATTCCCAAACTGTTAAGGGTGGAAGTTTACAGTCGATCTAAAATATCTTTACATACTAAAGCATTAGCAGTACCCTTTACTGAAAAAGCGGAATGCAATCATTTAAAATACTTTTGGCCATATTATGTATAAAAGGCCAAAAGAGCCTTTTTGATGTTTCATGGAATATGTTGTTTGAATTTTGAATGGTAACTTATGGTGTAGTGTACACTCAAACTGACCTCCAACTGATCTCAAATGCCCATGCACACAAACCTCCTATGTAACTAGGTAGCATACATACCACACATTATGGTTATGCAAAGATAAACCGAGATGTATGAAGTGCATCAACCACTCACAACTTTTCTTCTAAGCAATCCAGCTGAACAGATGTATCACTGGTTGCTGAGTTTCTGCACTTTGCTTCACCTCTCTGCATGGAAGATGCACAGGCTGTGCCTCTCTGCACCTCACTAAGCCAGAAAGTGTGATATTGATCATTTGCGTATGACTTTGACGTTATATAGTTAAACACTGCTCTGCTTATTTTGTGAAGAGTGAAGCAACCTAGTTAACTGGGTTGGTGACATTTGAATCTGCTTCCTAGTAACAAAATAGGTTTTTGTACAACTTGCAAATGTGTTTTCACTCTGCCAAAGCTTGCAGGGAACAGATGGCTTGCTTCCATAAAAGGAAATGTAGGTCCAAGCTGTTCTATAGAAGCTGCCCACCGCATCAAAACTGGTGCATGAACCTTCATAAAAGTCCTGGAGTGGGAGATGTTTTATATCTCAGTACTAAAAATATAATTTAAGGATTTCCAGGTGCAGAATGAATCTATGTATGCTAATAGTTAAGAATCACAAAAACCTAATGACAAGCAGTCTCTGTCTTACATTCATTATATTGACGCAACTTCACAGGATAAAAAAATATTACTGTTAGTGGTAGTTCCATCAAAACAAAATTTGCTTCCAAAGAGTCCAACTTCTATTTGCAGTATAAGTTTATTCCTCAGGCTTACCCGATAGTCTGTATGGCAAACCTGCTTCTTCATTTTTTGATATATTTTATCCCACAGCTCTTCTCTAGACCCGCCAGAGAAAGAATGGGATGCAAGTTCATAAAAAAATCCATCACAGTACAAAATAAAAATCCAATAAACAGATCTCCAGCTTT